CCCTACTTGCTACTGCAGGAAGGAGAGGGCTTTCGGAAAGGGAGATTGTCAAGTAGTGAGCAAACGGCAATGCTTTTAATCGCGTTGGAAGCTGTTCAGAAAGGCTGGCGGGTGCTGAAACATCAGCCCAGTGGCTGCCTTGATCCCATCTGTGAGAAGATGGAGCCACAAAGTACCATTAGAAACACCTTCAAGCCTTGGGGTGTTCTGTAGCAACCAGTACTGGGTGGGAAGTACGGGTCTGGATTCGAGGAAGGATTTCGCTCTGGTCTCCTGCTTGGTGTGGTTTTGCTGTGTGTGATGTGAGCGAGCGGTGCGTTTGGAGATGGGAAAATGCGATCAATCCCGGGAAGTGCTCGTCCCTGCCTTGGCCGTTGGAGCAGAGGAATAATCTTCAGGCCAGGCTAACGAAGTGTGCTTTGGACCTGAAGTGTGAGCCGGTTGGATTCTCCATCCTTTCAGAGTGTGTGTTTCACGTGGGAGGATGTTGCTCGAGCAGATGTAGCTCTTTCTAAGCTTGACTTGCCTGAAAGGCTGTGGCTTCTCTTGGCTGCACTTCGGGGTGTTGGCTGCTGGTAGTTCTTCGTAAACATCCAAATACCGATGCCAGCCCCGAATCTTGCTCATCACCCACCAGCTCGTCTCGGTTAATTTGAAGCCATAATATTTTCTATATGGGAGGTTTTTTGTTTGTCTGTAGACAGCTGTTGTTTTAGCCCAGTTGAGATCTCCACGCGTCCGTACCTTCCCCGTTGTCCCTTTTGCCCAGCCCGACTGCGAGAAGTCGCCTGGGGCTTGCGGTCCTTGCTCAGTCAGGAACGTGCTGTCCCTGTGTCAGCCGGAGCCCGCAGGCTGCGGTGCACCGCTGTGCAGTGCTAGGGAGGTCGGCGCTGCCCGCTCGCAGGGACGGAGCAGCGCGATGCTCTTTCTGCCTGGCGGCGGGAGGAAGACCTGTCCTTCGGTGACAAATGAGTACGAAGCAAAGCCTTTTGACTCAGCAGCTCTGGATACAAAAGGGAAATCCTGACACTAGGTCAGAGCTGGGGACTTCGGAACAGCAGTCTGCACTCTTCCGCAAAGTCCCACCGTGCTGGAGCTGGCCCTACCCCTACCGCTGCGACGGCTGAACAACGGGGAGAAGAACTGCTGCCGAACACCCCTCTGCCCCGGGCGCCGCTCCCAACTGCGTCTGTGAACAGCAATATGGCAGCTGAAAAAAATCACCTCAGTCTGGAAGAATTCATTAAGCGTTGTCTTCGGCAGAGAACCTGGCTTGGTATTCTCCATTGCATCTGGTGTGAAGATATCTTTGAAATACATAGTGTCCCTATGCATAAATGTCCTCTGTTTATTATTACCAGGCAATATGAGGACAATATCCTTCAGAAATAGTGGTTCCATAGCTACAGCTGAGGCTAATTTTGTGTTTAAAACAGGGATTCAAGCTCTCTCCTGTCTTGGTGTTCTCTCTTCAGTGTTCTTGCTCTTACTTGCTACGTATAAGAAGGAAAGATCTGAGAACAGACAGGTACAAATGTTAAATAGCTGAGAAGTTAACCGTGAGCTGTGTCTAGTCTCGTGTCTTGTGGTTTATTGCTCGGCTTCTCAGCTTGAGTTCTGTGTACTGACTCCACCTAATCACAGTCAAAAGTTTGCCCATGTTTTAGCCATGACTTCGCCATGTTTTTCCAGCTCCAAAAAAAGCAAATGCTGGGAAACCGCATCTTTCAGTATGTCAGATAATCACACTCCTGGAATTAGCTTTCACGTTGAGGTAATGGTGACTGACCTGTTCTCTGTCATCCCATGGAGAAACTTCCCCAGTCATTTTGTACCATTATATAAATATATATATAAATATAAATATATAAATACAATATGTGAAGACATCTTATTGGTTTTTATTTGAAACAATTTTTAGGCTTGTTTTTGGGTATCTGTGCTGCCTGTAATGTATTGACCTGTTTTATAGGTGCCTTTTTATTAAAAAGACAAATTTCAAAACCTGACCCTGTGCCTGTCTTCAGTGGGCTGCGTGACTTTCTGCGGGGCTGCGAGCAGGTGTGCTCAGCCCAGGACGGAGCTCAGCCCACATCACCTGTGGCACGTTGGGGCTGATCCGAGGGGCTCAGCCCCACTATAAATACCTTACAGCTGCCCCTTGCGAGATGCCTGTGAGTTCCTTGGGAGAGCTGCGACACCAGTGCTTGGCGCAGACTACGTGCACCGCCGCTTAAGGGCGGTGGAAGCTGCGCTGGGACCGGGGAACCACCTTTGCAGGATGCGGGACTGGACCGTCCCAGGTAGGTGGAGGGGCACACACAGGGCTGGTGGGGGGGCAAGCCGGGCCGCTCTGGGTGGGACTGCAGAGCAGAGAGGTGACCTAGAGCAGGGACTCGCTGCCCAAGCTGCCTGCTGCTGCCTGGAGCCCCGCAGTTCCCCTGGTTCTGGGCATCTCGTGGCCCGGCAAAGCTCGCGTGTGCCGTAGCTGCTGTGTGCTTGGGAGCCAGAGCACACGCGGAGCACGCTGCGAGGGCAGCAGGGTGAGAGGCCGGTTCTGGGGGCTCGGAGGGAGAAAGGGGCCGTGCTGCCGCCTGTGCGCAGAGCCGGGGTGGTGCACGTGGCACGCTGCCCAGCACCCATGGCCACGGTGCCATACGTCCAGGGCCACCTGTGCTTGAAATAAGGGAGACACAGCAGGCAGCTGCGCAGATGCTGAAGTGCTTGAGCGTCGGCTTGGTTGTGGGAGACTGGGTTGAGGAAGTAGGTCGCCTTCTTGATAAGGAAAATGAAACTCTGTGTGATTCACAGCAGGGCGGGGGGTGCTGGAGCTGCCAGGAGGGGTTGCGAGGGCGTGGGGAGAGCCCCTTCTCTGCAGCACTCCCAGGCACACGTTCATTCATGCGTTCCCTGGCTCGCGCTCCTCGGTGCATGCTCCGCTGCCTGCCACGGCCCCGTGATCACTGCCCGTGTGCAGCAGGATGCTCTGCTGAAACACCCCATCTCTGTCCCCTGGGAGACTCGGTCGCCGTGTAGGACATGCAGAGCAGCGTGCTGTTGTGAGGGCACTGGCGTCCCCCTTCTTTGAGGGGTGCCTTCAGCAGGGACCAGGGCTCTCTGGGTTGCCTGCTCCAGCCTTGTTTGCAGAGCACAGCCCAGGGTCGCAGGAGCGTGCGCTGTGGACGGTGGTGACGTGGCCTTGCCCGCAGGCCGCTCGGTAGCAGTGGGCTGGCGGCTGAGCAGAGCTCCACGGGGGAGCCTGAAGGGTCTGCCTGAGGGCTGCAGTGTCCGGGGGCAGCTCTGGCGGCGTGAGCACTCGGCGGGGAAGCCCGCTCTGGGCCAAGGCATGTGACGGCCATGCAAACCTCAGGGAGACGGGGAGGATTTCGCGGGGTGGAAAGCCCAGCTTCCTCTGCGGTGAAGAAGAGTTCCTCTTGCTTTCTTCTCGTCACCGTTCAGCGGGCTGGCTGCAGTCAGCTGCGGGAGGAGCAATGTCTGCTTTTTGGGGAAGGGTCTGCTGGCTCTGAGCCAAGCCTTCCCCAGGCTGGCTGTGCCAAACACGGGTGCGAGGGTGGCTTTCCCCTCGCGTTAGGAGGTGCCGCAGCCGGTGGAAGAGTCTGTGCAAAGCGGGGAGCTAACGTAGGTCTGGACTGACTCCCAACACAGCGTAGCCTTCTGTGGTGCCAGTGCAGGGAAAGCTGAAAAAGGTGCTCTTGCGAGCCCTGTGCTCTCCATGGGTAAACAGCAACGCTTGTCGGAAAGGTGCCATCAACCCACTTAGCGCTCTCTGATGTATTTCCCTTCCAAAAGTGACACGACTGTAGACGACTGCGTACAAGTGCTATACATGAGAAGACGGTATTTTATTTAACTGTTTATTACAGCTCACTTCAAAACTTTCTAAAAGTTTACTGACATACCAGTACTAAAAACTATAGTAACAATAGATGCGTAATCTGTTCACCCGTGTTTTGCATCCAGATTTTCTTTTTACCTTGTGAACACTGTAAGAATTTTACACTCTGACTGTTCATTTCTTCAGTAATGTTTTTGTGTGGGAACACAGTTCCCATCAGAACTGGGGCTGGGGAGGTGTTTACTGTGTGTCTGCAGTAGGTTTGCTCACCAGTACAACCGTGGAGATGGCAAAGGCGGGCTTCAGAGAGCTGCTCTTCCTCTGCCGCGCGTACGTGCTTGGACAACCGCGGTAGCCATTACCTGCAGGTTTCAGCTTTGAAGATGCAGTGCTGCAGGAAATGGTGGGCTGCTCTTTGTGTAAAAGCCTTATGCTCGGGGAGTTTTCTCCTCGAGTCACAACTTGAGAATGAGCTGTTGAGGTCTGTGCCTGAGCTGGACTGATGTAATGCGACCCCTTCTGTAATGACTGGTCTTTTTAGCCGGCTACGGTGAAGTTTGGCAGCAACCGAGCCCTTTGTTAGCAGGTTGGACTTCAGAAGTGAGCGTAGTACAAAATTCCTGCTGCAGCAGGGGAACTGACGTTGCTCTGACTTCCCTTAAAAAGCAAGGTGAGTGGTAGAGCGGATTTTAAAACGTCCTGGCGATGAGGGTCCTGCTTGTGTGACAATTGGTACGTGCGGCTCTCGTGCAGTTCAAGCCCCAGCACTGCTTAGCGAGAGAAATCTAGCGGAGCGGTGCCGTGTGTACGCTGCTGTGTTGTACAGTGACAAGACCACCTAGGAAGCAGCAGGCTCCCCGAGGCTGTTAGGGCTGCCCTGCACGCCGGCTTGCGGTGCAATAATTTGAGGCAGTGAAAGCTGCTGCTCTTATTTTGGACCAAATTGTTATCAAGCAGCCCTGATCTGAGCAGTTGCTGGACACTCGTGGTTCAGGGCAAGATCAGCACCCAGGTTTGTTCTGTGTAAACCTGGATGCGCTAAACCACTGAAAGCCCTGTAGCTGCAGGTGGAGCAAAAATATCAGAAAGCACAGTGCAAAGCAAAATTCTGTGTTCCCCGTCGGCCTGCTGAAAACAAACAGAAATATACAAACGAGCTTTTTTCCTCACTCTGGGGCAATGGGTCTCCTTGCTCTCAGAACCCACCAAGTGCCATACAACTGGCTGCAAGACAAAAAAAGTTACACCTTCAGCCTCACAAAGCCGTGCGGTTCATCATCGCCCCTGTGCTCAGTCACAAGATAGAAGCTGTGTCTCCAGACGGCTTTCTTCCTTAAAGGAAAGCGTTTGCATAGTCAGGCATTCGGTTCCGCAGTCACTCACCGGAGCTCTTAACAGCAGTAAAACAGATCAAGTGAGCGGGAAGGGATGCAGATGACGTCAAGAAAGGAATCTGTGACAGTCAAATCTTTGAGTCCGTGGCAGGACCTCCTGGCGTAAGCCAAATTGGGAAGATCAACGTGCCGTGGCTGGCCGGGCGGATGTCACGCAGCAGCAGGAGTGATATTGCAGCCAGAGACCGCCCAGCACCATGTGCCCGTGCTATTGGAGTCAGCTCTGCACTCCCCCGCCGGTCCGACCTGTATCTCTTGTTCCAGCTGCTGTGGCCATTGAGTCCTGCCGCTTCCTTTGGGCATGTCTCTACCAACCTGTGCCAGTGAAATGGAGACCTGCTTAGCTTTTGTCCTCAGTCCTTGCTCGCTGACGTGACTCCACGTTTACTTGGCTGCACTTTTTTCCTTGTGCCCAGCACCCCAGTCTCGTGCCTGCCTCCATGCACGGACGCCTGCAGTCAGTTTTTCAAGGGAGAGGTGGATACGTCAGGTTCAACGTGCTTGGGTTCCTCCCGCCCTGCCGGAGTGACCATCAGACAGCCAGCGCTTGCCAACAGCTGCCAGGCAGATTTCTACAGGTATGTGAACCAGAAGGAGCCAGGGAAGGTATCTGGTGGGCTTTGGGTGTTTGGTGGCTACTGGACCTCTGTGTCCTGAGGAGTGAAGAAGGTGGTGGGGATGCTTGTGAAACTTGGGACCAAGGCTACAGCACGTGTGCCACTGGGACGGCAAGCCCCAGGCCAGCTCTGCCCCGCAGGCAGCCTCTCCCAGCTAGAAAGTGGAGATAGAGGTGGTGTTGTCCGACTCTATCCCACTGCCCTTCCTCGCCACCTCCAGGATCTCCTGCAGGGTCTCCTGGCTTATGCAGCCGAGCTCCTGCAGGATCCGGAAGAAGTCATTACGGAACTTGACTCCAATGAAGGCGTAGAGGATGGGGTTGAGGCAGCAGTGTGTGAAGCCAATCGCCTCTGTCACCATGATGGCCGTGTCCAGCTGGTCTTCCAGGAGACAATTCTTGGTGAAGGCTTCTAGCTTGGTAAGTGTGTTCAGGAAGATGACGATGTGGTACGGGCTCCAGCAGAGCAGGAAGACACCTGTGACCAGGATGGCCACGCGGACAGCTTTTTGCCTCTGCAGGCGCTGGGACTGACACAGAGCCCGGACAATGGCCGTGTAGCAGTAACACATGACCAGCAGGGGGACAAAGAAGCCCACAGTGTGGTAGAGGAAGCGGGTCGCCAGCCAGACGTTGTTGCCATCGATCCCAACCTCTGGAAAATAGCAAATGCTGCGGTTGCTGTCATCCGTCCAGACTTCCATGAAGATGAGATCGGGTAAGGTCAAAAGCAGCGAGCAGAGCCAGACAACCGTGCAGGTGAGGTGGATGGAGCGAGCTCTGCGTTTGCGGTAGGTGTGGATTGCATAGACGATGGCCAGGTAGCGGTCCACCGCGATGCACCCCAGCAGCATGCTACTGCAGTAGAAATTGATCTTGTGGACGGCACTGAGGATCTTGCAGAGGAACTTCCCAAATACCCACCCAGCCAAGCTCTCCACCACGCTGAAGGGGAAGGTGAGCAACAGTGCCAGGTTGGCCAGGGTGAGGTGGAAGAGGAAGTTTTCCGTGGTGGTGCGAGACCGCTTGAACCTCTCTAAAATGACCAGGACCAGGGCATTGCCCACAGTCCCCACGACGAACATCAGCAGGTAGATGAGAGGCATGAAGACCTTTCTGAAGGGGTCGCTCTGGTTGCCGACCACAGATGAGGCTGGGTTGAAGCAAAAGTAGCCCTCCAAAGACGGGGTGGTGTTCTCGGCTTCGTAGTAACCGCTCAGCTCCACCTGGCTCTGGGGAAGAGAAAAGAGAGTTGGGTTACCGGAGAGGAGTTTCTCAACACGAGAACCCAGTCCCTCAGCCACACCTGGCAGACCTGGAGCGGAGCATCCCCGTGTCCTGCAGCCCACCTGCATCAGGAGGAGGTGCTGCCGGTCTGCAGCGTGATGATCTGGGAGGCCCCTCTGGTCCCAGGAGGTGCAGCGGCACATGGAGAGGGTTGTCCCAATCTCCGATAGCGAGGGCTGCTCAGTCTGTAATCTTTAACTAGCGTATTTGGGGATGTTCTGGTGCCCAGACAGATGACCAGTCTCATCTTCTGGTTCTTGCTGAGTTACCTGCTGGTGGCTTTTGTTCTCACACAGCATGGAACCCTCCTCTATCAGCTTTCCCGATCTTTCTACCCGTTTCTGACACCGATCGTCCCTATCCTACCTACTGTCGGGTACGAAGGTGGTGGGATTCACTGTGGAGCACATCTGTACCTCAAACTATGTGCACTGATCCTATCCCCTTCTGCCTCTCCTCCTCGGAGCTGCCCCGGGCAGAGCAAGGCAAGGTGGGGACAGCAGCAGCCATGCTTGGGATCGCTTAGAGAAAGGTGTGGGGCGGATGTTCAAACGCAACTGGAGGAACACGTCTGAGGCACCGCGGTGCCATAGCTACGGGGATGGATGCTGGAGAGAGAAATCTGTTCTGTTGGTAAACCTTGTGGTTCTGAACTAATTGCAGTCAGAGCAGGAAAGGGAATCTGAAAACACCACGAGGACCCTGGGCTGATATCCGGTAAGGAAAGTGTGATAGAGCCACCGCAGATGGGCTTTGCGCTTGGCCTGCTGTAGCTCCTTGCCAGGTGAGCAGCCTGTATTTGGGCTGAGACTGCGCACAAGTCCCGAGTGCCCGAAAGCTGCAGTTACGCTCAGGACGAGTTCCCCAGACGGGGTCACGCTCCAGCTGGCCTCGGGCACCTCGCAGGAGCCGGGCGTTCACAAAAGCAAGGGGTTCGGATGCAGAGGGGCAGAAAAGAGCGCAGCACGGGAGGCTTGCGGCAAGCCGAGAAATTAGTGACAACTGGGAAGAGCTCGGCAGCAGTAACCCTGAGCTCCCCCACCCACACCCTCTCTGGAGACTAGTGCTGAGACTTCGGTGTCAACCACAGCGGAAGTCTCTGCTCGCTGCTTTCATACCTTTCACTGCCAGCTGTAGCCGTTTGCACCTGCTGCTCCTTCCCTCATCAGCCAAAGTTCCCATCTAAAAATACTAGCCCTGCTTTACACGGTTTTAGAGCCGATTTGGGGGGTTTTTGCTCCCCCTATGTGCTGCAAAGCCAAATGACCGTGACCAGCCTCGAGTCCTGCGCTGTGCCCAGCTGGAGAAGGGCGACTAATGTCTCTCCTCTCCCAGGCTGCCTCCCCTGAGCGAGGTGCTGGGTGCCTCCGCACACTACTGCCTGGGTGAAGAGGTGACGGCGCAGCGGCAGCGCCCGTCTCGAACTGCTGTGCTGCTGAAACCATCTGCATTGCTCCAAGGGGAGCCTGGGTGTGCCGATGGGGAAGAAGTCTATGGAGCATTACCGAACGCGTGGAGCAGGCGGCTGGCTCATGCGGTCCCAGAGCAGCGGACGGTAGAAGAGTGAGCGAGCTCTTGGGGAAGGTGCGGAATAAGCTTGCCTGGCTCGCGCCCTCTGCCTTTGGCTACTGCCAGAAAGAGCGTTAAGCCAGACAGACTTTGGTCTGACGCGGGTTACTCTTGGTCTTGCTGCAGTCCCGTTCCCCACCGGCTCTGCACCCAGTGGTGCTGCCGCTCCGCTGCAATGCCACGGTGCTTCCTCCCGCACGAGCGAGACACGGTCCTCTTGAGGGCTGAGAGTCCTCCTCCCTGGCCAAAACTTCAAATGCATGCGACTCTCTTCCCCTAACGTTAACAGTGGGGCTGCAAGCCTTTGGAGAGAAACATTTGTATTCCCAGAGAACAATTATTTTTCCAGTTTGAGGTACGATTGTGGAGACTGGAGATTGCTGCTAAAGACAATAGCCTTTAGAAATGCATCCCAGTTTGTTTTCTCTCCGGCTCGGAAATATTTCCTGCCCAGTCCGTACCTGGACCCTGAGTCATGAGTCACCAACACGCACAGAAACCTGTGATGTGTTGGCCAGGGCCAGATCCTTGAATCTCCCCCAAAAAACCGAAACCAACCCAAATCCCTTTGCAATTTGGTACAGCAACCAAACCAGGCTGCTCAGGATGCACAGGTGACCATGCTGAAAACCCCAAAGTGAACACGTGTTGGAATGGGTAACCTCACTGGGGAGAGGTTGGCGGGTTCCAGCTTCACAGGGAAAAAGGAAATGATGGGAAACGGCCGGGTTTGCTGGCTCGAGGGCTGGAGCGCTTCCTGGAGCCATGCCAGCACCACTGATGACGGCGGATGGGCAGCCTGCGTGGCATTCGGCAGCTTTGGCTGCTGGACGGTTTCCAGCATCACCTTGCATTCGGAGGTGCGGAGGCTGTGTGCCACTATCAGACACCATCTGACTGCTGATAAGATGGCAGGTAGGGCTCTTACTGTAAGCCACTCGCCGCGGGTAGGGGAAGCATGCGCTGAGCTGTGTCTGAGGCGTCCTCTCATGTGCATCTCCGAGCCGAGCAGCGAGTGTGGGTGGGAGCGGACAGAGATGAGTTGGAGACAAACAAGAGGATGAGAAGTAAGAGTCCAGGCTGAGACAGGCAGGGCAGGGACTAGAGCTGCAGGAGGTGCACTGAATGTGACAAGCTGAGGCTTTTGGGGACTCTGCCGCGATTCCCGTTTCTAGGCCTGGAAGCGGGTGGCTGCCTGATCTGGGATGGGAGAAGTGAACAGTGTGCACTCGGGGACCTTTGTACAGGTCTCCTGCAAGACAATCGCAGCCAGATCTGGGGGTGGGCGATAACGTGGTGCCTTTTTCCGTAACTGAGCAGTCAAGCGCGTGCCTGGGAAGCCCGTTCCTGTGTGCTCTTTGTTCAGGGATCCCTTTTCCCCTCTGACCCACATCTCGGAGTTATTCCGGTCTCCCCGTGTCAGCTGCTTTTCTCAGTTCCCCACAACCGCCAGCGATCAAAACATCTGGCTGCAGGAGAGAAGCAGCTTGTGCGCTATTAGGGATTTTCCACGTGAGTCGTTCCCTTCTAGCCCATGCTGGGGCCGGGAGAAGCACATCTCATTCCCAAAGCCTTAAAACGGAAATTGCCCACACCAGTGCAAGCTGCTGGCAGAGCTTCCGCTTGTCCCCCCTGTGGGGAAACCCACGAATAGGAGCAAAACCCGTTCAAGTGCCACGTTGCTGCAGCGCAGGTGCCTTTATGGCACTCGAGTCGTGTTGGTCCCGTTACAATGAAAACTGGCCTGCAGCATCTCAGGGGACCCGGTGGAGATCTCAGTGGTCTTTCTGCAACTATGTTTTTGTTTCTCTAGTCTGCAACAGAGGGAGGTTAAGCAGGCAAAGCTTTCTCGCAGTGGAGAAACGGGGTTATTGCTTTGGGCACGTTACTTTTCCACACAGTTACAGAGATGAGCGGCCCAGTACGGTATCAAAGTGTAGGTGAGGCCCTCACTGCACTCACTGGGCGATGTTGAGATAAATGCCCTTCCGGGGCAAATGTTCTCCTTGTTTCTCCTTCCACACTTGCTCAATGGGTTGAGCGATCCTCTCTGGTGAGTGCACAGGGCAAGGTTTATGTCACCGCTTTGACGGGACACCGTCGAGGCCTTTGTTGCAAATCTCTGTGGGTAGGTTGCTGCTACGAGCGCCGAGTATAGGTAAAGCAACACACGGCACTGCCAAAGTAAACGTGGCGTTGCTCGTGTGAGGTCTGTGGCCTGTCCAGGAAGGGAGCCAAACCTGGGAAGTTCCCGGGAGGCAGAGGTGGGAAATGCATGTCACAAACTCCCGACTACAGGAGGTCTGAGAAAAGGTATAAAACTGTTCTTGCTGTGGCACCTGACTGTCGCTGCGCGGTCCCAAAGTTAGCCAAGTTTCCCCTCTCGCACGGGGTCTCCCTTATAACTTAAAATAATTCACCGTAGAGGTAAAATTGCTAAGCTAAAGGTCTGGAAAGTATTGTATACAAAGAACAAATCCCAGTGCTGCTTAACCACCCGGCGTTAAAAATGCTGTGGTGTTGCCACAAGCAGCCGCCTGCTTGTAGCGCATGACAGGCTGCGGGGAGGCGGACGGCACGCTCCGACTTTGCTGGTTCTCTAGTGGTGGGACAGATTTCCAATGGACAGTTCAACTGGAGGAACAACCCGGGATGGAGATGAAAAAGGTTTGAATTTGGTTTTAACCTCTTGGCAGGCATTAGTGCTGCCACTGAACTTCAGCAGAGGTCAGGGAGAGAAGTGTCTTCTGCAAAAAGTTCTAAAGGAATGACCACCGTTTGCAAAGGATTTTTATACCGGACGAATCAGAAAAAAATAAGGAGGGTAGGGCCTGCGCCCCATCTCTTCTCTCTTCCCTGCTATTATAGGACAAAGGAGGGATAGAAAAAATTGGTAACAATTAAATCCAGCATTTCTCTCTTTAGAGAAACTAAACAAAACCTGAGGTCTGCTGCAGAGACCCACTGTATTAAAAAATAAATTCTGAGCTGCAAGATTTGAAAACCAGGCTAATGATAGCGCTGCTGTGGACTTCCCCTTGGATAGCACAACGTACTCTAAAAGGTGCAGCTGCTGTCTTTCACTTGCAAAGACAGCGGAGAGAACTACGGGGCAGAATACACCGTGTCATCGCTCCTGATTAGAAGAAGTACTTGCAATTTACCTTCCCCTCTTTAAAATTCCCCTCTTGTCAATATACTGTTTCAGCAGAGCCTATGGCAGCCCGTTCGTGGAGAAGGCGAGCAGGGGTAGGAGTGCGTATGGTCGTACCAAGGGTTTTCACACACGGAGAGACAGCATTGGGTTTGCTTGGGTGTTCCTGTTATGTAAAGATACTAGACGAGATTTCCAGGGCTGTGCACACTGTGTGCACAGTCATTTTATACCACCGAAGGCTGGCGCAAAAGGCGCCCGACTCAGAATGAGTGTTTCACGCCCACATTGTGTCAATGGCTGCACAGACAGTGGGGCAGCAGGGAGGAGAGACTGGGACAGGCTGGCAGCGTGAGAGGGGGCTGCAGCAGCCCGGCTCTCCCGGAGAGCTGCCTGGCCCTTTGGTAGCAAACGTGGTCTTGGTCCCCGTGCAAGGATGGTGCTCGGGCTCAGCGCTGGCCAGAACGTCTGTGTACGAGGTCCCGGTAGTTAGGCAGCTGTCCCCAAGGGAATACCTGGCACCCTTGGGTCACAGCGGCTGCAGCCCCGATACACCCGCTCTCAGAAAGCGCAGCACTGTCCCTTGCAGTCCCCTCATCGGTCAAGTCCAGATTTGAGGGGTGTGAGGGCTGATTGCGCCGGCGTAAGAAATCACTCGAGCTCTCCCTCTGCCAACAGGAGGGCGAGAAGACGGACAGACAGAAACCAGGTCTTTCAGCCCACCCCAGAGCCACCTGCTCTCCCCGTTATCCTCTGAAACAAGCAAAGCCAGGATCGACTCACCAAGTCATAGGTCTCTGATGAGTAGCTGACAGGCCCCATGGTTTCAGGGGCAGGATCCGTCTCTCCTCCAGCAGTTTCAGCAAAAGTTCTTCTTTTTTGGGGTGGAGTTAGCCATTTAAGTGAGTAGGGAGGGACCCAGCATGTAACAATAGAGTATTTGCAAGGCAAATGAGCTCCAGGCATAGAGTGACCGAATCGATGTGAAGATTAGCATCTAGCTTTATAATCTTTTTTTTTTTTTTAAGTGCTGTAAGTTGATTTTTAAAGTATGGTTTGAAGAATCCACGTTCCTCTGGTCTGTAGCAGAGAAGAGCCAGAACGTCTACAGGTCTTCTCTGGAAACCTCCGGGGCTCTTGGCCACAACCATCCTCATCCCAGGCGGTCTGAAAGGCTTTGGAAAGCTCTGCGCCAAGGGACACTCTTACCAGAAATCTCCCTAGATCCGGGCACGTCTCTGGGGCTGTGCAGGACTTTGAAGACACCTGAGATTAAATTCATAGGTCTGGTCTGTATGACCAGCACCCTCCACCTCAGGGTCCTCCTGGCTGCTTTAACCTCAGTGCCCTGCCAACATCTTCTGCTCCTTCTGCCATTGCTTCGCCCCGTGCCTTGGCTCGGGGGGACGTGCAGCAGCTCGCAGAGGAAAGCACAGCCTTGGCGGTCGCTCCGCAGGTCTAGGAAAGGGCGCTAGCTAGCAGAGGCTGGTCTGCTGTACAACACACACCGGAGCCCCTTGATTAGACACCTTCCTGCAGCGCTCATCTTGCCCATAATAAAGATGGGAAATCAAGATTTCCCCTGCTCAGGGAAATGGGCGTTTTGTCCCAGGGATGTTGCAGCAGCAGATTCATGGTGCGAAAGGCCCAGTCTGGGTCAGCAGGATAGGACGGCACCGCAGCTGGCACTTTGGCAGAAAGCTGAGGCGGTTCGACCAGCACAGTGCCCGTCCTCCTCTTGTCTGGGCAGAGCCTCACCAAGGCCTCTGTAACAGCAAGGAGTCCGGTGGGATTCAGACCAGTGAACAAGGAGGCGGCGTTATTCCGGTGAGCACCACTCGATTTCTTCCGCACCTCATACTTTTTAGCAGGAGCCTGGTGATCCTGACTTGACAGGAACCCGCTGCCCCGAGGGCATTTGTGTGCACCCACGCATGCCCACCCAACACACTGCCTCGCAACCCCCACCTTGTTGGAGGAATACATGTCATGGCTGGCCCGTGGCCCTGGCTGTGCGGTGAGGTGAGAAGGGGGATAACGCTGTGCCCAGGAGCCAGAGAGGTTAGGAAGGATGTTTTCAACCAGCTAGAACTGGAGGGTGGAGCACTCAGCATCAGGGACTTCCTCTAAGGGCTAGTAACAAGGGTGCTGCTCCCCACAGCAGGGCACGTTTGGGACTGGTTCTGTGACCTTCGACAAATGCTGCCCCCCTGCTCCAGCCCCAACTACTCCATCGGCAAAGCAGGATGGTGTAAAGTAAGGTGCTGCCAGTCTGGAGGTGACAGCGATGCCGCAGAACCTCTCAGGTCAGAGGGACAGCCTGTAGCATGCGGCTATGGGGGACTGTAGGCTGGAAACACCTCCCAGGCTGTGGGCTTGGCCCTCAGACGTGGCGTGGGAATGACAGGGGCTTAGGGACCCCACTCCAAAGCAATAGACACAAATGATTTCACTTGCAAACACATACTACACTGAGGAAAAGACTGCTACCATACATACATGACCTACGGGATCTGTGTGTTGCTGTACCGTGCCATGTAAGAAAGATGATAGTGAGAGAGAAGAGCATGGGAGACAAATAAATGGGGAGAAAAGAAATTTAAGTGAAAAATAATGTCACTTCACAGACAGGTGAGGAACTGACTATGGAAGAAAATCATTACAAAATCCAATGATAAATATTTGACGAATGTTTTGGTGCCTGTACGTGGGAATTCCTGGCTGAGCTCTGATTTTCAGCTGTGGGTACATGCTCTCACTGGAGAACTGTTCTTGTATTGTCAGGAACACAAAATTTCATTAGCTTGTCTAAGGTATTCTGATAATAGGAAGTTATTCAGCTTTCTGTAAGGATGATAAAACGCATTACTTGCGTATGAAGTTGTTCTGTTCTGTATAACCATGATGTGACTAACGAGCACATCTAGTGACTAGTTTAACATTACACTGACTTTCTGAGCTCTGCTTGAGAAAAGCCAGATCGCGTCTGGCTCCTGAATCTTCTCACCTCTAATGTTTTCTGTTTGTCTCCTTTGTTGTTACTATAACTAAAGCTTTGCAAAGCATGTGCTGCCTGCAGATGTTACTCATATTTATTAATCTGTTAATTTCTGTTCTCATTTGCTCTTTTAAGGTCAGAGCATGCTATTTCCTGTACATCTCTTGCGAAGTGCGATGCTTAACCCCACGAAGAGCTGAGATGAAACGCCGGTCTCCACACAGCCGGGATAGGGAAGCAGCAGGCACCAGAGAACGAAGGTCGTGCCCAGCGTGTGACTGCGGGAATGGGGGAGTCGCGGCTTTTCTAGCTGCAACCGCTGCGCCCTTCAGCCAACAAACGGCACAACAAGTTGGCACAGCAAGAAACAGGTGAGATGCAGCTTTTCCGCTCCCCTGGCATTTGAAGGCACAACACTTGTCTTTTCAGGTTCCTCTTTCTTTTGCTGTGCTTGGAAAAGAACTGTTAAAAAGAAAGAGGGACACATCAGGTGGGAGAGAGGCTTGCAAGGGAGCTCCGCACCAGGGGCGACCTCTCTGCCCCAGGGGATGGCAGTACAGGACATGGCAGCAGCCCCACGGCAGAGCAGCAGGTCATCTGGGGGTAGATGAAAGAAAGAAGTGAAGGACAAGGCAGTGCTGATCTTATTTCCCATGAGAATGGGGCAGGAATATCTGAAATTATTGTACCAGAAGGGTCGCCAGGAGTGATGGAGATGACCGTGCTGTTGTTTTTCTGTTGAGGGTAGGGATAAACAATGATCTAAAGGTGGCTGTACATGTGAGGAACTAGGAAAAAACAGCAACATGAGGGGAAACAAATGGGTTTCCCTGTCTTTTGGGGCCTATTTTGGGAAAACATTTGACCAAACATTTGTCTGCAGAACAGTTCTGGAATTACCAGCATTTTTAGGCTCGTGTTTTAAGATTATGTCCCCATTGGGCCTCAGTTTGTTAAAATCCCTGTTTAAATAGCAACTATCAAAAAAGGAATTAATGATTTCTAACCTGTCGTGCTCAGTTGTTATGGCTCCTGCGTGCTGTGGGTCAGTTCTTTATTCTTATGTTTGTGTTAGCTGTGTTTTAATGACCACAAAATGAAATCGCGTTAACTTTCCACGCTTTTTCTCGGGAAACCTAAGTCTTTTCTTTGGCTCTGTTATGAGGTTTGAGATGCGTGCTGCTTCTAAGCGAGAGAAGTCATCAGTGCTGGTGGCTTCTGCTGTTGTCACGACGCGTCCCCCTCTTGTTTTAGAGATGTAAATAGGCAAAAAAGCTTCTGTAGCCGCAGGACCAGTGCTGCCCCATTGCTAGTAGAGGATCTGTCTGCCTCCACTCAATGGTATTTATTCTTTTGGTTGGTGGTGATCGTTGGTGGTGCAGTTGACACACTTCAGGGATGGGATGCCATCCGGGGGAGCCGGACAAGCTCGAGAAGCGGGCCTGTGCGAAGGCCTGTGTTGAGGTTCAACAGGGCCAAGCACAAGGTCCCGCACCTGGGATGGTGCAACCCCTGGTATCGGCACAGGCTGATGGAGACAGAGAGCGGCCCGGCCGAGGGGGGTTGGGAGTGCTGGGGTGGGGGG